CATCGAAGTTTCACAAGTGAAATATTTGGACAGTATTTGAAGAGGTCAAACTATGTCGTGTATTTCAGAGGATCAACGGGCATTGATCAATCGAGAATAAAAAAGTGATTCTTCGAGTTGATGAAGCTGATGTTGCGGGGTGCCTTGATGGGTGTACGCTTTGAACGTATCCATTTTGGGTGATTGGGAAGTTGAGGATTAACCAAGTTGTTTTACGGTTGGCATCTTATGCATAAAGTGACACAGCATGGTTTAGGTATCGAGCATTGAGTTTTAGCGAGTATGCGGGATTGTTGGATTTGGGCTAGTGAGTTATAGTCGCAAGTCGTCAGTATACGTCCTAGGATGAGTGGTGTGTCGCAGTCCAGTTATGTTTGGGTAACTTGGTATTGTTCAAGGGTGGTACGTTGGTAATCTACAAGGACGATGTGACCTTGTGATTTTCTGGAATGAGAGCGATAACTGCAAGTGTAATTCTTGAGTTCGTACTTATGCGTGAATGATGGCATCTTTTCGTGTTTGCGTAGCACGCATGGTTTTATCCTTTCTGATTGTTTCAGTTTTGGTTTGTATAACCATTTTGTTGTTTTTGTTTTAGCGATGGTGTCGGTGTTGTGTCGTAGGACTTTATGTTCCTACCTTTGGTGACTCGTTTCCGAGGCGTCGGTTCGAGTGTATGACTAATTCTATGGTTGAGACGTTAGGATGGTACCGATCTTGTTTGTTTAGTTCTCGAGCGAACCGGTGTGTCTGCGACTTGTTTAGTTGTTGGGTGTTAGCTGATTGTCGAGTGCATTGTGTGGGCTTCGCATCTCGGCATGGTTGTTCTTGTCTAAACGTTATGGCTAGGGGGATGCCCTTGTGTTAGGTGTATTTTGTATGTTGTTTAATTAACGCAAGGATTGGGTGGACGAATGCGTAGGCATGTCCCGATTTGTTCGTTTTGGTTAAAATTTTCGAGGCCGAAAATCTTTTAAGTGGGGGAGAGTTGTAACACCCCGTTTTTGATTAAATGTTAATTCGGTTATTTGAAATAAAAATATTCATAATGATAAAATACTATTTTGAGTAATATTAATTTGGTGTGTAGTAATATTTGACTTTGTTTGATTAATTGGCATGATTAGGTTTATATAGAATAAATATTATTTAATGTAATATTGTTTAATAGGGTTATATATTATAATTTGAATTAAATAACTGTTGGGGCCAAATTACAATTTTAGAAAGATAGAGGGAGGAAAGTTAGTAGTAGAAAGAGAGTTTTATAAAATAGAAAAGGAGAGTTAGTAAGAGAAGGAAGAAAAGGGGAGAAAGAAGAAAGAAAAGAGGAGAAGAGGAGAAAGAGAGCTAGGCTTGGAGTTGCAACATCTCCATCATCTTGTTTCAAGAAAACCCACACCAAGGTAAGGGGTTTGATTCTCCATCTCATATTGTTAGGTTTTTGTATGATATATTTTGGATTTAGGGGTAAAAATTGATAGTTGATTTTTAGGGTTTTGTTGGTTGATTGTTAGAATGGTTTAGAAAAGTTGGATTAGGAGTATGGTTTGTGGGTGTATTAAGTGCTAGCTTGTGGAAATTAAGAGTATTGAAATGGGAAAGAAAACCATGGTAGTTGAATGAGAAAAACTCAAAAGAGTGGAGTTTTCACGCATGCCTCACAACACGGGCCGTGTTGCAGCACACGGGTGCCCGTGTTGCTGCTCTGACTTGGCATTTTCTTGGCTCGTTCTGGTGGCCTCTCAACACGGGCCGTGTTGTAGCACACGGGTGCCCGTGTTGATGCGTCTGTAGCCTCCAAAATTCTAATTTTCGCACTTCCTTTAGAACCCGTTTGTGTTCCGATTTCGGTAGATTCGTCGACGGAGCAAGTTGCTCCGAATCCAAAGAAAATTGACGTGCTAGTGTAATCCGACGTGTAGCTTGACGTAGTGAAGTTCGTCTTGCGAAATTTCGACTTTTAAGAATCGACCCGATTTTAGTGCGAATGAAATAAGTTGAGTTTAATCCCGAATCTAACCGTTCGAGTTACATTCCGGTGACTCGATCGCGATGAGAACATTGAGAATAATACCGGTTCATTGATAATGACTTTATGTTGAAATATACTTTCCGATTTGGAATTGTTGATAGTAGATGGTTTATGTTTTGGTTGAGTAAGTAATCTCGTTTGTTTACATTTTACTTGACGTTGAGATTGATAAATTATATGTATGCATGCATGTACAATAGTTGATGTTCCATTGGTTGGATTTGATGGCATGTGTATGTTAAGATTGTTGTGAGTCTTAATTGCATGCATTGGTTATATTGTACATTGCCTGGCATGGTGGTCTTGAAACAGAGACGGTGGAAATTTGGGTCCACAATATCTAGACGGTGACCCTATTGTGGGAAAAGACGTAGTGACCTTGATCCGGAAGGGAAACATAGGTGGTGGAACATTGGGTCCACAATATCTAGACGGTGACCCTATTGTGGGAAAAGACGTAGTGACCTTGATCCGGAAGGGAAACATAGGTGGTGGAACATTGGGTCCACAATATCTAGACGGTGACCCTATTGTGGGAAAAGACGTAGTGACCTTGATCCGGAATGGAAACATAGGTGGTGGAACCTTGGGTCCACGAGTCGGTATCGCATTTGCATACGTTGAGTCGTGTTATGAGTCACATGTATAATTGTGCATGATATGTATGTGTATTGATGTGTTTGATTATGTGCCAATACTGTTGTTGTTTGAATTATGATTATGTGCCAAGGATGTGAGTATTCGGATAATCGGTTTACATGGTTAATGTGTTGGAAATGGATTCCTTGAGTAAGGATAATACAGGTGATAAAATGAACATGATCATTATGTATTGCTTTATTTATTGCCATTTCATTTACTTAAAATTACATGTTATATGACTATTGGAATTCTTACCCTTTTGTTGGCCAATGCTTTTGATGGCATTGTGCAGGTACCGAGGACGGTAGCGCGAGGCGCTAGCTAACGGATGCATTGGATTGCAATCTGTTTTATTTTGTTTAGAGTCGAGTCGATGCTCTGGTAGTAACACATGGGGGGATTTATTTAGTGTCGAACTCGATTATTTTGTATTTGGATTATGATGTATATAATCCTTATTTGTGTATATGATGTTTTGTATATGTGAGACTTGATAACATATGCTTATGTGAATTATGATGGCTCGGTGCCTTGAATTATGTTTTGATTCCTCCATAAATGGAGATGATGTGAAATTATAAAACTCCGTTGCGTTTGCACGAGAGAATGAAGTAAATATTTATGGTATGTTTGTTTTGTGTTGGAATGCTTATACTTTCAAACATACCCTGTCCGTTTTTCCTTAAAAACTTTGGAATGTGATGTGTGTTGTGGCATCCCTTCCGTGCAATTTTATTTCTCTGATTTTAATCTTTACCTTTAATTGGGGTATTTAGAAGGGTGTTACAGATAACAAAGAGATACAAGCAAAGTGTTAAGATATTGGTAGTGAATAGTGAATATTTGATATCTGGCCCTCACAAGTGTGAGAGCATATAATATACCCCTGGCGTATGACTATTGGTTCCTGTTTTTACGCTTGGATATGTGGGTTCACAAAATCAGGTAACTGTCAGGACTTGGTCAAACCGAGAAGATATGCTCGTAACTAGTCGTTGGTTCTGAGGAGGAGGCAAGTTACAGACATCTCTCTGGTCGGTTCCTAGTGACCTGTACGACTTGATGTCGGGCAGACTGAGGGGTACTCATCGATCATCCTAGGCCAGTGCTGGCTCAGGAGGGTAAATGATCGATATTTCCTGACGGGGAGCGGGGCGGTTCGGGCCATGGACGTGCAGGCCTTACCAAAAGAAAGGGTTAGATTGAGTCCATTCTAGATGTCGGGTCAGTCCAGAACATAATTCAACATTCTTTAAATTCGTTTTACGTACTGATCACCAAAGTTAGTGATTGAGAGAAAATGAGAGAGGTTCTCATATTTAGGAGGAGTCTTAAATAGAAAGTGACATGTAGTATTAAGAAGAGATACATTAACAAAGGTTGTTAATCTAAGACTATTTATACTAATACTATTGAGAGTGAATTTCCTTTCTTGGGTTAGAAGTCCCCTCAAATATAGGTGACGTTGCACCGAACTAGGTTAATAATAATTCTTTGTGTTCTTTATTGCTTTATGATTTATTTAGTATCTATTAATCTGTTATAAGAATGTTATACACATCGTCACAAACATTGTGTCTAACATCTTTCATACGAATAACAAAATTTCACTCATGAAAGCACTTCGCTCATACACTACTCATCTTTGAGTGGTTATATATATGCTTGATTTCTTGATATACTTATGAAAGCCCTTTCCAATTATACAACTCATCTTTGGGAGACCGTGTACATGTTAAGTTTCTTGACATACTTTATGAAAACACTCCACCCTTACATGGCTCATGCTTGGGGCGTCGTGTACATTGATTTATTAATATGCCTTATGAAATCACTTCGCTGAAAACACTTCACCCTTATCCAAGTCATGTTTAAAAAGTCAAATACATGTCTAATTTCTTGATATATCTTATGAAAATACTTCACCCTTACACTACTCATACATGTCTGATTTCTTATTATAAATTTTAACATAAAAATCAAATATATTTTTGTGAAAGATATTTTTAAAAGTAAAAAAACTAATAATTTTTGATTTAACGTTGTTTTCTACAAAAATATCTTTTCAACAAGTTATATCAAATTTAATAAAAAAAATAAAAAAAATGACATACTTTTCAGAAATTTAACTGTTTATTGAGCAAGAAACAATCAAGGGCAAAGAAACGGCTGAAAAACACTTCGCTATTTCACTATAGTCCCCAAAACTGAAGAACGACGCATCATTTTCAGGGATCATCAAAACACGCAACAGTATTAGAAATCGCGAAAGATCAAAAGTTAAAGGCATTGCAAATTTCACCGCGTCCGTGAAGATCGAAACATGGACGACGAATTGCTCGAGTTGCAGAGACAGTTCGACTTCGCTCAACAAGCGAAGTTCAGTATTCGATTATCCTATCGAAACGTCGTTGAATAAGTCCAGAAATTGCAGCAACTTCAAGTCTTCGATTTCGAGCTTCTTCACACTGCTTCCGGCAAAGAGTACATCACTCTCGTACGCTCTTTGCTTCGTCTTTTATTATTTTTTGCAATTAGGTTTAACGGATTTGATTCTTGATAATCGATTGTATTTTCTTGCTTTTAACCTAATTCATTGTGTTATAATTGATCTTAATCAAGTGTTTGTTTATACGGTCGATAGGATCAACTGAGAAATGAGATGGTGACTGAGGTGAAAAGATTAGGGCGAATTTCTGTGATTGATCTTGTTGATGTTACTGGAGTTGACTTGTACTATGTTGAGAAATTGGCTCAGAGTATTATAACTGATCACGGGGAATTGATGTTGACTCAAGGGGAAATCGTTACGGAATCTTACTGGGATTTGATTGCGGAAGAGACTAACGAGAGGCTTCAAGAATGTAGTCAGATTGCTTTGACGGAACTTGCTGCGCAATTGAATGTTGGTTTGGATTTGATTGCGTCTGTGTTGGAGCCGCGTCTTGGAACTATAGTGAGTTTTGTTTGTTTGTTTGTTTGTTTGTTTGTTTGTTTGTTTGTTTGTTTTGTTTTGTGTTGGTTTTGGTATGTTTTTGGAGTGGTAAGTGGAAATTGTGATTTGATAAATGATTGTTTTGAGAATAGGTTAAAGGAAGGCTTGAAGGTGGGCAGTTGTATACTCCTGCCTATGTTGCTCGTGTTAGTGCCATGGTTCGAGGTGCTGCTAGGGGCATTACAGTTCCGACAAATTTGACAGTGTTATGGAGCTCGTTGCAGAATTTACTGCAAGAAATGGATGCTGGAGTGCATTGGACACCAGCTGTGAGTGACATGATTTGACATAGATTGGATATTTCTTTAATTGATGCCTGAATTTTATGGTTTTCATATTTGATTTAGGCATTTGGAGCTGTTCACTTCTTGTTACACATTATTGTTTAATTGTTTGATTGACAAAAATTGGGATAATTTCCAAATTCTTTTGCTATACTCCACCTCTAATTTATAACTCTATAATCCTTTTACTGTTAGTGTCTATAGGGGGCAGTGGCAGTACTAGTAGTCAACTGTTGTGGCATATGCATTGATGCCATTAACTTAGTTCCCATATTAATTATTTGAAGTTGTTTATTGTGTTTTTATGTCACATGATAGGTATTTGCTGTTTCTCAAAAGGAATCTGTGGATTCATTCTTTTCACAAGTATGAACTCTCTCTTCTATCGTTTTTCTCTTTTGCTTAAGATGCCAAACATTTCACCTAGTAATAATAGCATATGATCCATTGGTTTGAGCTAGATAACTGTCTTTATAGGCTTTGTTTGAATGTACTTGTTTACTGAACTGCTCCATTCATGTTGTGCTGCATTTGTGTGCTTTAGAATTCTTTTATCAGCTATGACATTCTGCAAAAACTTGGAATTCCTCAGCCCGTTCAATTCTTGCAGGTAACTAAGTTGTTCTTATGTTGATTCTATATCCAAATAATAACCATTTGGATCATATATAGATATTTGTGAAATAAATACTCTGTACTAAATGTTTTCATAATGAAGCCTAAGTTTGCACAATCTAATTTAGTCCCAGATATCCTGAAGGCAAACCTCTTGTTACAACATTTGTTCACCCATCAATGATTGAGATGCTAGATGCTGCTACTGAGGATGCTCTAGAACGTGGTAGCTGGTAAGACACTTAGCATAAGCCCCACCCCAATCCTCAATTTCTGTTTCTGTTTCTGTTTCATCCCTTTTTACGTTGGTAAGTTGATCAGATTCAATACCTTGATTTGTCCTCACTCTTCCTACTTCTGCATCACCTAGTTGTTCGCACAGGGAAAAAGTCCAAATTAGACTACAAAACATGCTCATAGATAAGCTTTAAGGGGTCTTTAACGTGCTAGCTGTTTCCTTGTTATTTTAACATTACTTTCTTCATATGGATAATGATTATGGCAACTGGATGATAATGACTGTTCCCATTCTCCTCTCTCTCTCTCTCTCTCTCTCTCTCTCTCTCTCTCTCTCTCTCTCTCTCTCTCTCTCTCTCTCTCTCTCTCTCTCTCTCTCCCTCTCTCCCTCTCCCTCTCTCTCTCTCTCTCACACACACACACACACACACACACACACACACACACGCACACTCACGCACAGTGCAAGAGATCTCTTTACATTGTTTACAAAACACACAAACAAACACACACACACACACACACATGCAGTTCAAGGAATCCCTTTACATTGTTTACAAAAGTTGTAGTTAGTTACACATTCGATATTTTTTCAATGCATCAAATCCTTACTGACATGAAAATGTTGCAGGAGTGATTCTCTTTCCTTATTGCCCTCATCTTTTACACCTCAAGATGCATCTAAAATGTTGTTCCTCTGTCAATCTGTACAATTGGCTCTTAAGGTGATACTAGCTACCTTATTAATTTGCGCTTTGCTCTGTCGAGTCTCAATTTGATAAATTTTTTTTTTTTTTGCAGTCTAACAAAGCACATATATTTGGGGACTTCTATGTATTGAGCAGCAGCTTTATGAAGGTTTGTTGTGGAATTTATTGTAGTCATATAGACCTCAAGATCCTTGAGTTAATTCTACGAGCCATGTCACTGATTTTGTGGTGCAAATGCAACTAATAAGGCCTGGTTTAAATATTGGTTTACAAGATTTAATAAACATAATTTTCCGCGAGTATAGTCAATGAGAACAAAAAATTGTGCTAGTTATATTAAATTTGCTTGCAATAGATTCAGAGGTGCTGAATCAAATGGTACATCAAATTACTTCATGGTCACCAATTAACCATTCCATAGCTACCGTGGCATGGGAACTCCAAAAAAATAGTGATGATATAAAATGACTGCAGTGTCATGTATTGTACAGAACAGTTGTATTAGATGCGTGATTAATGTGTGTGCATCCTGCTGGGCTTAAGAATTCTTTCTATAATGTATTTCCTCACTGCATCCAGATTTTGGCTTCTTTATCCTTCCCCCTTTTGGTACTTAAGTGCCAACAGCCAAGAATGAAGTTACTGTTGAATAGAATATGTCTATCTGTAACTTTTTTTCTTCTTTTTATATCACTGGTTTCCTAATGTCTAAATGCTTCTGTCCCCCATCTATTAGGACATTTGCGATTGTACGGTGAAAGAATTAGAGACATTAGCTGTTTCAAGGTCTTTGGGCACTGTAAAACCTGGTGATTTACCAATAGCCAATGAAGTAAAAGCAGGGTATGATTCAAGCAGGTTGAGTGTGTCCAGTGAAATGGCAAGTGACAGTGGCTCCAACAAGCATGCTGATAAAGGGCCAAAGAAGAAAAAGGGGAAAGCCACTGGAAATGCATTAGCAAATCAATCTGAAAGTGGTGCTGATAACCAAGAGCATACTTCTACCAAATCTAAGAAAAGCCAGAGAAAGGGTAAGGATACATCTTCACAAACATCAGATTCAAAGCAAGGCTCTAGGAAAGAATCACTTAAAATGAAAGAGGATAATCTCAGTAGTCCCTCAGAAGAATGGATCATGGAGAAGATTACAGCCTTGGTTCCTGATTTTGAAGAACAAGGTCTTCTAATTATGACTTTGGATATACTCTTTCTGCATATGCATTTTATCCAATTTCTTAAATTATGTGCTATTAATTGATAGGTATTGATGATCCTGAAACAATTCTTAGGCCTTTGGCTAACAAGTTAAGGCCCACAATAATCAATACTTGGATGGAGAAAAGGAAGGCATTGTTTAAAGACAATGCAGAAAGAATGAAACAATTGCTTGATAATTTGCAGAAAAAACTCGATGAGGTGTGACTGCTCTGTAGTATCTTTTTGTACTTTCTTCGTCCATTGTGTCAATGTTGGTACTTTATTTAATCTTTCCTTAGAGCATCTTTAATGCTGGTAAAGTAAGGCAAACGTTTGTTATAGTTTACGTTGCTTGTAGACAACCGGCATTATAGAAAGATGACATGGCATCATATATAATTTTGGATGCTCTATAGAAGCAATGGCAACTAAATCTCATCTGTCATAAAAATAACAATTTTATATTATTGAGATGAAAGATAATAAATTCTTATAGTGTTGAGTTCACTGTTAAAAATAATTACAAATAAATAAATATAAATATGTGGGGTCACCTTTGAGTTATTTATAAACAACCACCATTAAAGTAAAAAAAGAATAGATCAATTGCAAATTCTTTAAATCCTATTTGGCAATTTGGTCCCACAAAATACAAATTAATTAATCCATTTTAGTTCCTTATTATTCACCCCACTAAAGATGCTCTCATTGGATACTTATCTGAACATGTCCTTGTGTGATTTGTTTTTTGGCAGTCTTTCTTAAACATGCAACTGTATGAAAAAGCCTTAGAATTGTTTGAAGATGATCAATCAACTTCTGTAAGTCAAGTTAATTGAAATTTGAAAATGTTATTTTCACTGTTGAAACATGAATAAATTAATGTATCTTTGATGCCCAGGTTGTTTTGCATAGGCATTTACTAAGGACAGTAGCAGCTCCTATGGTTGACATGCTTCTTCATGACTTGGTATTATACACAGCAATTATTCTGTTGATATTTCTTGAGGTGTAATAAGATCTAAAAACACTATGGATTCATCCTTTTGCAGGATGAGCAGAACAAATTAAAGAACGGAGTAGAAGTGCAGGAATCTCCAAATTCTGAGTCTATTTCGTTTAGTCCTGGAGATAGAGCTGCAATTGTAAGACTTGAGAGGAAAATATGAAATGATAATACTCTGCATAATGATGTTTATAGTCAGAATCAGAATGAATAAATTTCACAAGAAGTTTAATCAAAGCAAACATAATTTCACAAGATACTACCAATCTTAATATGCAATGAATCCTATGATACAGTGAAGTTTAATTCTACTTTGAATCTGGAACAATAGCTATATTAAGTTTTCAACAGTAAGAATATTACATTACTTGGAAAGTTATGCTTTTCTGTTCTGATGCGTTTAGTATATCAAATCTTAGATATTTGTAAACTATCTTCTTTAGTGGAACACATAAAATGACTTCAAATACTACATCTATTGTTATTTTCTTTTGTAGTCCAAGAGTTTTCCAGGAGCTCTTTCAAATAAGGCTCTTGCTGTTGTAGAAGCATTGGAAGGAAAGGTAAGCATTTTTATTTCTGAAACATTATGGTTAAGGCTATTTGTATAAGGTTCACTCAATCACTCATCAGTTCACAATTGCAGCTGGTTGGCTGGAAATATCTTGTTATAACTTGAAACTTATTTTTCTGTTTGACTTTTGAATGCTGCAACTAATATTTGAATATTCAATACAATAGAGGGTGGAAACATTCATGTCTTCATTCAGAGCTGTGACAGAAGAGAGGTAATAACTTGTCTTTTTTGTTAGTAGTACTTATAGCGTTGCTTTTACCAAAGCTTCTCTCTTGACGTTAAACCTCATGTGATTAATTTTTCCAGCGGGCTGCCTTTGAAAAAGCTAGACAAGAAACTAGAAAGGACACTTCTACATTCATATCGTAAGGTATGTACTGAAACTATAAGTTTGGTAAAACTTTAGAATGACAAGAAGAAATACTCCTGAATTAGTTTGTTTACAACTATTATAAGACAGACCAATTCCACTTAAATAATGATGGAGCTCAGCTCCTTCCACCAATAAAATAGACACAATACCCTACCACAACAATGCAAATGAACAACTGGCTTGATACCACATGCACTGACAACCCTTTCCCTAGCCAATGACTTATCTATTTTCCTCTAATCTTGCTGCCCCCCTATGCCCTCTTATTGGGCCTTATATACTTTTAGACCATTTTTCTGTTTACATCCTCTCCTATATACATGTATGTCAGTGTTAATTACAACGATTCAAGATATTCAGTTTTCTATCCTACAATAGTTCCTAAGATTGCTCCTAATTGATTCTACGACACAGGTGAAACAGTAGCTTAATTATCTAAGATATTCTTACACTTTCCGTGGAGCTGGAAATCACTTATTATAGCTTGTCATGTATATAGCTGGTCTGGTGACCTCTAAAGGCCTCAGTGTATGCAAGTTGACAAATATAATGTGGATATTGTTACGATCTCTTGCATTTGAATTTTCTCTGGTGCAACATGGCAATTAATCTCAATATGTTTCAGGAAAAATAGGATTTCAAGATATATGTAGTGCAACATGGTTGCCACACTAGTTTCATTGGTTGCAATTCATAGTTGTTTAAATTGTTAGAGCAGCAGTTCATAGGCTTCAGTACCCATCATTTGATACTCAACTTTTGCACTTGATTTGAAAACTGTTTGCTTCTTTTCCATGATATTATATTTCCTCCATAGTAAACAGTGTCATGGCCAAAATAGAGCTTTTAAATAAGATAAATTTGCTTCCCAACTGGCATCTATATAAGCACAAATTTACACATGCTTGCTATCTTTGTTTAGTTAACATTTTTGTAAATGCTCTTCGAACGTATCTATGTCTTTGAACAACAATATCACGGTTAGAGTCACACGTAGAATCAAGGAATTTACTTACTGCACTCACGAGCATTACTAAGGAGATATTTAATCTCGTTATCATGATAGATAGTTAGGTAGATAGATAGATAGATAGATGGATAGGTAGATGTAACAAACCCCAGCTAGTGCGTAAAAGATTTTGTTTTGGTGGTTGTTATAATGGGACATTTCAACTTTCAAAGTAACCTCCAAGAATGTCCTATATTTAGTTCTTGTCGGTTTCACCAAGATGATTATTTCAGACCATACAATGTTTTCTACTGCTTGCACCCCAACCCAAATCCCACCTAGCAATAAATCCAGGTAGTTAATCCATGTAAACTTGTAAATTACCATTGGAGAGGACTTTCTTTATGTCCCGGTTGTATTGAGGCCAATGTTTAATGACAGCCATGGCTAGGAAGAGCCAAACAGCGGGCTCAAGAAAATATATTATTCAAGCAAAAGATTTTAGTGTAATATTTGGTCCCTAAACGAGGCTTTAATAAGTGAATAGAGTCACATGGACCAACTTCAATTGTAAATACCCATAGGCAACAATGAGATATTTTCCCACTGGCTTAAGGACTATATTTCACGTGACTTTGGTTTGCAAGGCCCCATTATTAAACATTTATTTGATATTCTTTTCAATTTCAGTATGCTATATCTGATATTCAAGATTGTTTAAATTGTAATTCCTAATATTAGCAGACCCGTCCATTTTACATAGAATTTTTGTTTGTTTTTGCCATGATATTCTGCAATTTGGATGATCTTAAACCGTGTCTTCTATCACTGTTATCATCAGGAATTGACATCTCAAGTTTCGGCTGAGACTGACCCTGTATCACTTCTGCCGAAAGTTGTGTCTTTACTCTATGTCCAGGTAACTTGATGCTACTTCCCCCTCACCTCAACAAAAAAAAAACTCTTATTCCCATCATTAACATGTATTTGTATTAACAGGTTTACCATAAAGCTCTACAAGCCCCTGGAAGGGCCATTTCTGTTGCTATTTCTCAATTGACGGTATGTTCTTTCCATATGCTTAATTATGCATCAAGACAACTGAAATAATAGTAATTGCCGAAATCAAAACAAGTATTTGTATATCAACTGACAGTAAGTACTGAAAAACGTTGTTGAACCCTGAGATAAACAGTGATGCCTCATTGCCCTTGTATTTAAAATATGATTTGGTGGTGATATTTAACAAAGATATGGACATTATATGTGGTTTCTTACTTGTTTTGCTGTTCAATATCTCAGATAGATCATAAAAACTTTATCAGAGCATAATCTATTCCATGTTACACTTGAATGGTTGTTTAATGCAAAAGTGTTAGTCATGATTCTTGTATGTTGCATTTAACCATATCTAGGGTTTTTTTACATTCTCAAATATAGTTCACAGGCACTTAACCATATCTAGGGTTTTTTTGCATTTAACCGATTCTTATAGTGGTAAAAACTATTAGCTTTCTTGCACTTATTTTGTTGAGAGATAATTGTAACACCTATACACTTATCAGAGCATAATACTTCACAGGCAATAGATTTTAGGCTCATTTTTGCACTAGTTTTGACAATAATCTGACAGCAGGCAATCAAGGAAAATAGTTCTCATGGATTCTGCATGAATAATGATTACTTTTTAGGACTGAAAAGCTTCCAAAAGTATATATATTTAACGTATTTTTTATCAAAAGCTGAATGAATATCTTAGGCAACTAAAGTAGCAAATAGTGTGTGTTTGTTAAGTACTAGTCAACCAAGGAAAAATAGTTCTCATGGATTCTGCAAGAACAATGAACACTCTTTAGGACTGGAAAGCTTGCAGTAATATATGTTTAACTTATGTTTTATCAAAATCTGAATGAATAATATCTTAGAGAACCTAAAGTAGTTAATGGGGGGTTTGTAAGGTACTAGTAAAACAATTCAAATATCCATAAAATATTGTAAAACGTCTTCTGTAACTTTTCCCTAATTTTGGTTCACATGTTTTATTTGTTAGGATAAGCTTGACGAGACAGCTTGCAAGATTATAGCTGATTATCAAGCTGCTGCCGTTACTCTTTTGACACTATCAGCTACTCCTGATGACGTGAGTAGTTTCTTTTCATGCACTGTTCATTTATACACGTTATTATGGTTGATCTCACAGAATTTTGATCATTCTTCTCTAAGATATCAAAGTAATCAAACTTTTGTTCTAAACCGTCTTCTGTTAAGTTTTAAACGTGAGTAAGACTTGGAATTGAAGTTTCTCGAGCAAGTTTTTCCAATGTCTTTGTTGAATAATTAGAAAATAAATCCGAATTTCACAAGAACATGTTGCATTAACTATTTTAAAATGGGTATGTGATATTTCTGGGAGTGGTTGATATATTTGTAAATGTGTATAAGATTATTTTGAATGCCCGCCCAATTCAATGTTTAGATTGTAAACTATTTTTTTTCTTCTTTTCTATTTTGTGCAGGAAGACAGTTGTGCATCGAATAGAATTAGAGAGATTCCGGAGAGCCAAATGCCTGCTCTCAAAAGTTTGGTTTCGGGTGCCTCACGGTCATAAATATTTTTCAAGTCAAATCTATCCCCTGAATGAAACTGTACTGTACTTTGTTAGGATGGACAAATTTTATGTTAGTTTAGACTATACAACTTGTATACACTATACAGTGCACTGCAAAAAAAAAGTTTTTCTGAATTTTCGCTCCATGAAATTTGTCTTTTAAGCAAAATTGCCAAATTAACGATAAATATTAGGACTATTTTGGAACTTATATTTTTCTATAGATGGTTGGATTTTTAAAAATGATAATAATAATGGTAGAGTAGAGTAGGGTAGGAGTAGGAGTAGGAGTAGGAGTAGGAGTAGGAGTAGGAGTAGGAGTAGGAGTAGGAGTAGGGGTAGGGGTAGGGGTAGGGGGAGGGGTAGGGGGAGGGGGGTAGGGGTAGGGATAGGGGTGGGGGGAGGGCGTAGGGGTAGGCCGGGGTGGGTAGGGCGTGGTGGGTAGGGCGTGGGGGGTAGGAGTAGGGGGGTAGGTAGGGGGCGTGGGGGGTAGGAGTAGGGGGGTAGGCGTAGGGGTAGGAGGGGGGGGGGGGGGGGGGCGTAGGGTAGGGTTAGGGTTAGGAGTAGGAGTAGGAGTAGGAGTAGGAGTAGGAGTAGAGGGAGGGGTAGGGGTGAGGGAGCGCGTAGGGGTAGGGGGTAGGGGTAGGGGTGGGGGTAGGGGTAGGGGTAGGAGTAGGAGTAGGAGTAGGAGTAGGAGTAGGAGTAGGAGTAGGAGTAGGAGTAGGAGTAGGAGTAGGGGTAGGGGTAGGGGTAGGGGTAGGGGTAGGGGTAGGGGTAGGGGTAGGGGTAGGGGTAGGAGTCGGAGGGGTAGGGGTAGGGGTAGGGGTAGGAGTCGGAGTAGGAGTAGACGTAGGGGGGAGGAGTAAGGGTAGGAGTAGACGTAGGGGGGGGGGGGGTAGGAGTAGGGGTAGGAGTAGACGTAGGGGGTATGAGTAGGAGTAGGGGTGGGAGTAGACGTAGGGGGGGTAGGAGTAGGAGTAGGGGTAGGCGTAGGGTAGGGGTAGGAGTAGGGGTGGGAGTAGACGTAGGGGGGTATGAGTAGGAGTAGGAGTAGGAGAGGGGGGGGTAGGGGTAGGCTGGGGTGGGTAGGGCGTGGGGGTAGGCGTGGGGGTAGGCGTAGGGGTAGGGGGGTAGGGCGTGGGGGGGGTAGGGGTAAGGGTAGGGTAGAGTAAGATAGGGTAGGGGTAGGGTAGAGTAGGGTAAGGTAAGGTGGGGTAGAGGGTAGGGTAGGGTAGAGTAGAGTAGCGTAGGGTAGAGTAGGGTAGAGTAGGGTAGGTTAGAGTAGAGTAGTGTAGAGTAGGGTAGGGTACGATAGAGTAGAGTAGAGTAGAGTAGAGTAGGGTAGGGTAGGGTAGGGTGGAGTAGAGTAGAGTATGGTAGGGTATGGTAGAGTAGGGTAGGGTAAAGTAGAGTAGAGTATGATAGAGTAAGATATGATAGAGTAGGGTAGAGTAGGAGTAGAGTTAGGAGTAGGGATAGAGTAGAGTAGGGTAGGGTAGGGTAGGTTAGGGTAGGGTAGAGTAGGGTAGGAGTAGAGTAGAGTAGAGTAGAGTATGGTAGGGTGGGGGAGGATAGAGTAGAGTAGGGTAGGGTTGGGGTAAGAGTAGGAGTAGGGGTAAGGTAAGGTGGGGTAGGTTAGGTTAGGGGTGGGGTAGAGGTAGGGTAGGGTATGGGTAGGGGGTAGGGGTGGGGTAGGGGTAGGGTAAGGTAGAGTAAGGGGGTAGGGGTAGGGGTAGGGTACGGTACGGTAGGGGTAGGGGATATGGGTAGAGGGTATGGGTAGGTGTAGGGGTAGGGTAAGGTAGGGTAAGGTGGTAAGGGTAGAGTAGGGTAGGGTAGAGTAGAGTAGCGTATCGTAGGGTAGGGTAGGGTAGAGTAGGGTAGAGTAGGATATAGTAGGGTAGGGTAGGGTAGGGTAGAGTAGAGTAGGGTATGATAGAGTAGGGTAGAGTAGAGTAGAGTAGAGTAGGGTAGAGTAGCGTAGGGTAGAGTAGGGTAGAGTATGGTAGAGTAGGGTAGGGTCGGGTAGGGTAGGTTATAGTAGAATAGGGTAGAGTAGAGTAGAGTAGAGTATAGTAGAGTAGTGTAGAGTAAGGTAAGGTAGAGTAGGGTAGGGTAGGGTAGGGTAGATTTAAGTAGAGTAGGGTAGCAAAGAGTAGAGTTGAGTAGGGTAGGATAGAGTAGAGTTGAGTAGGATAGAGTAGAGTAGGGTGGGGTAGAGTATAGTATAGTATAGTAGGGTAGGGTAGGGTAGGGTGTGGTAGGATATAGTATGGTAGGGTAGAGTAGAGTATGGTAGGGTAGGGTATGGTGTAGTAGGGTAGGGTAGAGTATGGTAGGGTAGGGTAGGATAGAGTAGCGTAGGGTAGGGTAGGGTAGCCTATAGTAGGGTATGGTAGGGTAGGGTAGAGTAGAGTAGAGTAGAGTAGAGTATAGTTGAGTAGAGTAGGATAGAGTAGAGTTGAGTAGGGTAGAGTAGAGTAAAGTAGAGTAGAGTAGAGTAGAGTAGGGTAGCGTAGAGTAGGATAGGGTAGGGTAGGGTAGAGTAGAGTAGAGTAGGGTAGGGTAGAGTAGGATAGAGTAGGGGTAGGGTAGAGTAGGGTAGAGTAGGGTAGGCTAGGGTAGAGTAGAGTAGGGTAGGGTAGAGTATGGTATGGTAGGATAAGGGTAGGGTAGAGTAGGGTAGAGTTAGGGTAGGGTAGGGTAGAGTATGGTAGGAGTAGAGTTGTGGGGTAGGGTAGGGTTGGGTAGGGTAGAGTAAAGTATGGTATGGTAGGGTGGGGGAGGGTAGGGTAGGGTAGGGGTAGGAGTAGGAGTAAGGGTAGGGTAGGGTAGGGTGAAGTAGGTTAGGGTAGGGGTGGGGTAGAGGTAGGGTAGAGGGTAGGGGTAGGGGTATGGGTAAGGTAGGGTAAGGGGGTAGGGGTAGATTAGGTTAGGGTATGGTAGGGTAAAGTAGATTATAGTAGACTAGCGTAGGATAGGGTAGGGTAGAGTAGGGTAGGGTAGGGTAGAGTTGGGTAGGGTAGGGTAAGATAGAGTAGGGTATGGTAGGGTAGAGTAGAGTATAGTAGGGTAAGGTATGGTAGGGTAGGGTAGAGTAGAGTAGGGTAGGAAAGAGTAGAGTTGAGTAGGGTAGGATAGAGTAGAGTTCAGTAGGATAGAGTAGAGTAGGGTGGGGTAGAGTATAGTAGAGTAGGGTAGGGTAGGGTAGGGAAGGGTAGAGTAGGGTAGGGTAGGGTAGGGTAGGATAAAGTAGCGTAGGGTAGGGTAGCGTAGAGTAGGGTATGGTAGAGTAGAGTAGAGTAGAGTAGAGTAGAGTAGAGTAGAGTGGAGTAGAGTAGAGTTGAGTAGAGTTGAGTAGAGTAGGATAGAGTAGAGTTGAGTAGGGTAGAGTAGAGTAGAGTATGCTAGGGTAGAGTAGGGTAGGGTAGGGTAGGGTAGAGTAGAGTAGAGTAGAGTAGGGTAGGGTAGGGTAGGGTAGAGTAGGTGTGATACGGTGGGAGAACTGACTTGAGATTTTGCGTTTGTTTTCGCAAATGTTTCGGTTGAGCAAGAGTCGCCACCGACTTTCTATTTTATCCTAAGGAAAGATTAAAAAGCACAGCAAAAACCTTTGAGATGTTTTCTTGGGTTCGGGGAGTAGATTATAGAAAGGGAAGGTATTAGCACCCTTTCTATCCATGGTTATCCATGGGCTCTTAGTTACTTGCTTAGATCAACTTGCCTTAATTTTCAATTGTTTGAAATGGTGCTTTGTGTATGTGGGTTTGAAAATGTTTTGAAAAGAAGTCAATGTGGTGACAACCTTTGTAATTATCCATGTTGGGATGTATACAAAGGTGTATGTCTTTTGAAAAGGTTTTCAATGTTTTTTTTGAAAGTTGTTTTGAAAGTGTAGTGATGTGTGGTTTGAAAATAGGCAAGTGTTTTGTTTTGCAAGTTTGATTCAAGTAACTAAGAGGTTGTCTACTCCTAAATTTCTCAAAGATTTCTCCTATGTTTTTAACCCTTTTAACAATTTTGTTCCACCATTGCATTTGGTGGACAATCTTGTGTTAGGATGTGAAAGGGACGGGCGCGGGTCATCGTTTAGACCATAATTGCAATGGTGCCAAGTATCTTTGGGCAATTTTTCCTTGGAGGGACTTGATCATTTTTTTAGCAACTTTTGAAAGCGTCATCGAGGGACTATGATCATTGGAATTGTATTTGTTTTGTCCAAAGAGACCTAACATGCAATATGGCCCATTATTGAAGGCAACAAGTGGAATACCCTAGGGGTGCAAGTGTGATTAGTGTTGTCCATTTTCATGCTTGTTTATCTTGAAATTAGGTCAAACTATTTTGGTTAATTGATTTGCATACAAACCCTAATTCTATCATGGCATATTTAGAAAACTTTAAAGTGCGAAAAATAAAGTTCCTAAGTTATTACAACACAATATATGGGAAGGGGGGTACAAATGTTCAAATGGGGGTATTTTGACAAGAATTAAATCCTAAACTATTACAATTCAAATGGAATTATACAAATTATTTAATGTGCAATAATTAAATAAAATAAGATAAATATGCAAGATGCAAAAAATGATTTTTTTTATGTGTATGTAAAAAGTGTTTTTTATGTGTCAAGGAAACAAAAATAAAAGTATTAATTTTTGGGTCTTTTCATGTTTAGGGCAAAACCCTAATTTATTAAATAAAAGGTATTAATTATTTAATATGTACAATATTTATTAGTTATGTACAAAAAATAAATAAAAGAGAAGTATATTTGTCAAAAAAGTATTTTTAATGTTAAATATTAATAAAAATAAAAATGTATATATTTTGTATTTTTTAACCTAAATATACTAATATATATGTATGTATTTGTATTATTTACCAAATGTATTGAATATGTACAAAATAATAATATTTAATATTTATAAAAAAAAGTATATTTTATATAAAATATTTTTAGAAGATAAAATAAAATAAAAATTAGAAAATAAATGTAT